CAGTCATGTCTACCAGGTTACTGGCTCCAGGGCCTGCCATGACACAGGACTCACTATGACATTTAAGTCCCTCCGTAATCTCCTTACCTCGCTCCCACTGTTCCTTCACAAGAACACTTGAAACCGGCTGAGCCTTCTCCTTCCCTCCCCACTGTTCAGTCACCTTCTTGCACATTTGTTGGCTCTTCTCTCTGCCTAAAATGCTCTTTTCTGTCCTCTGTCACCCAAACCCTGCCCATCCTTCAAGGCCCAGAATAAATTTTCTCCTTTCTATACTTTCATTGAATAACTTTATCACATATTACCATTTTTCTGCCCTGAATTACTACTACTGTGCTTAGTTTGAAACTCCAAATTCTGTACTTCTCTTGTATGGTTTCTGATACCTGAGTTTTAACATTTCCATAAGATCTGACATTCCTAATAGCAAAAACCATGGTTTACGCCGACCACTTAATAGGTACTCAGTGAAATTTCTGGTAATTACCTGATGAGCCATGTACTGACCAGGCCCCTCTGTAGGAGAATTTTAACAGACCAAGATGTCACTTAAAGTGTATAGTGATAAATCAGCAACCAGTTTCTCTAATTAAATAAATCCTGTAGTTGTCATCTATTTTTTAATATAATAAATAAAATTTAAAAATTATGAGAAAATACCTGGAGTGAAAATTTCATGCCTCAGGTCCTGGTCTGCCTTAGCTGCTGGTAGCCTGCCTGACAGTGGGACTATGTCCTTGTTATCCTTGTTATTAAGCAGGGACATGGGGACAGCTGTGATTGGGTATGCACATGGGCCTGCAATTATCTACCTTCTAATCACAACATTTCTTCCCTCTGATTTTTATGTTTATCTCTAATCATAGTCTTGCTTTGTGCTCACATGCTTGGGTGGAGCAGTGGATTTCTATCTTGGCAGCTCATTAACTAAAACTTTAATTAAGAGGTAGTGAGGTGACACTGGACTGGAAGGTGTTAGGCTTTAGGAATGGATTCTTATCTTTTGGTCAAGTTTAATAATTTTTCAGAAAGACTGTCAACTTTCTCCTGGTTAGAGGGTATATGCCCCTGAAACTTTGGGCCAGAATCATAAAGACTGGGCCCTGAGGAGTTAGGCATCTCAGCTGACCAGTGTAAATCCTTAGTAGTGTCCAGGGACAGAGGTAATAATGTATTTATGAGATGAAGGACTATTTGATGACTGTTCTGCAAAATGGCTACATGGGCTACCAACGTAGAACATGGCCACACAAATATGTGTGGGTATCTTTGGAAATTGGGACAATCTAAGAAGTCCTTTAGGATCCAATAGCTCTAGGCCCAAGGCCTTCTCTGCTATTGATGCTGGCTTAGCAAAAACTTGATTATTTCAGCTGGAAAATGAGAAAGCAGAACCAGAGAAATTTCAAGATTTCCAGCTGTAAAATTCCATGCTTCTAATGTAGAAATGTAGTGCGAGAGGTATGGCTTGGATCAGCACCTTTGTGTAGTGCATATCAGCTTCCAATTTGGCTAGTCTGGGAAACAGGACAAGATACTTAGTTGACCATTTATTCTGGGTTCCTGCTTTTGGGCTTAGAAATGGTATAATAATAACAATGACAATAACAATAACAATTCATTATATAATAATATTATTATTATTATTAATAGTGCCACATAGGCCCTTTGGGGGGAAGGTGGACCAGAGATTTGGAGCTCCTTTCCTGCTCAATAAATGTAAAGATATGGAAAGGTTTGAGAGGCTTTTCAATTAAGCCTCCTAGTTTTTATTTACTTTGACAATAAAGAGGTCATATGAGTCAGTATTCCATTATCTCTTAAAGTTTTGGAAATGTAATTATATTCTTTTTGTTGGCCTTAAAACTTCTTTTGAAGGTAGTGATAATTCATATTTAATAAGTCAACACTGAGGAACTGGATAGTGTATGAAGCCATTCGAAATTCACAGTAAACTTTGTATTCTTTTTTTAAATAATGTAGTATGTGTAAAAACAGCAAATGGGAAAGCATTATACATGTAAGATATTTTTATGATTCTTCATATTTTTTACTGATCTGCTGTAGACCTATTTTTTGGTAGCTTTCTTTGTAATCCATGCTATTACTGCTCCTGTCCTTTTACTTCATTGGTCTTTTGCATTCTCTGAAGATTGTCTCTTGACATGTCCCAGATCATGAGATATGAATAATTGTCAGGCAATCACATGTCAGATCTTTCAGAAATGAAGCCACATACATTTTTTATCACAACTCAGATATCAAAGATTGCTATGTGTCCTAAATTTGGGCTGAGAATTTTAATATAGGTACAGGATAATTTCCTTCAGTTTACTGTCTTATTCTCCTTAAAGTATTTTTTGTTTTGCTACAAATATAATCTTGTAAGTTTTATAAGGGTGAAGATAAATAAGAATCATATCTATATCTCTGCACTCAATTCTGTGTAAGACAAAGTCCACTTTGTATTACTTTAAGAAATTCTGGGGGCACCTGGGTGGCTTAGTCGGTTAAGCTTTCGACTTCAGCTCAGGTCATGATCTCACGGTTCATGGGTTCAAGCCCCGTGTCAGGCTCTGTGCTGACAGCTAGCTCAGAGCTTGGAGTCTGCCTCAGATTCTGTGTGTGTCTCTCTCTCTGACCCTCCCCTGCTCATGCTGTCTCTGTCTCTCAGAAATAAATTAAAAAAAAAAATTAAAAAAATAAAAAAAAAAAGAAATTCTGAGTTATTTATAATGTGGTATGCCAAGAATTCATCTTACTAATTTTTCCCTACCTTTAGTTTTCTAGAGTGGAATCACATTTTTTTCTAGCTGAGAATTAATATAAAAGCACTAGATTTGGATGGAACATTTATTGTGCCCAGATCAGGACTTCTACTTTTTGTTCTTAATAGCCTCATTACAAATAAAAACCATGAAAAAGCCAATATTTTTCTTTATGAGAGACTCAGAGTCTCTTTTGACTGTATGTATATACTCATTAACACTACCATTATGAGTTGCTCTAGCAGAATGTGCTTAAGAAGTTAGTGAACTGGAATTTTGCAAAATAAGAAAACGATGGAAAGGATCTCTAGTTATTTCAAAGATTTAAGTGACTTTGGGGTGCTGGACTAAATTCAGATTCCCAATGAATCAAATAATCAAATTAACATTCACCTTAGATTTTACTAGTGGAGCTTAAGTATTTCTTTTAAGATGCTAGGCAAAAGCTTAATCATAGAAAAAATTACTGGAAATTTAAAGTACCTTTTAAATCAATTACTGTGATATAAGTACAATTAAATTTTCAGGTTAGCCACCTGTCTTATCATGCTCAGAAAGGATAAGAAGTAGCATGTACTTTTTCTTGAATTTATTGGTTTTGTGAATATAAAATTAAACATCCAACATAAGATAATTTTATGGTTTGTATTTTTGTTGAGAATAGATTATGAATATTTTGCTAGATATAATTGTTTACTCCACTTCTTTGTTAATTAGAATTCACTTATTCTCCAAATAAGAAAAGGTATTGATGCTTTGTAAGGCAGCTCATTTCCAAAGAACACTTTAAAATTTTTCGGTTAGCATTAGTCTTTTAGAATTTGGGTTTAAAACTGGATATATTAAGCAAACTGGATATATTGATTATTGTTACACTTAATATGGCTTTGTCTTTTTCTTTTCTGATGTGGTACACTTTAAACATACTCCCATGAATAAAGCAAACAACATAGCCCCACCTTCTGTCCTCTGGGACTGAAATCTGGGATTGGAATGAGGATCCGACCACACCCATCTCTGGAAGAGCAGGACTGTGTGCACCCGCTGGGAACACTTCACAGATGGAGCATAATTGGAAAACTGAAATAGTTAATGGTTCCAACTAGTGATGTTTTCCTTTGTTTTTTTGGCTGTGGATAGGGAAAATGGGAAGCTTTTTGAAAAATAGCATTTTTTTTAATGAAAAGGACCAGGCCAACTATTAGCTATCAATTTTCTAAGAGGCTGAGTTATTTTTCCATTTTGCTCTACACAAAATATTTATATTATTACATGTTTTATTTGGTCTCTGAAAGACTGAAAGTACAAAACAACAATTTCCAGTTGTTAAAGTCCCTGGATCTTCAAATTTATGCATTTAGGTGAGCCAAATATCTATGTCATTGTCTAAGTGGAACACTTTTTTTTTTTTTTTTTTTGGCATAACTCAAATGCTTTAAATCTTACACTTGTTCTTTTAAGGTCATTGGTCCCAACTTATGGCAGCCAGATGTTTCATAATTTAGAAAATACTGTTTGAAGGATTCAAACCTGATGATTTAAAAAAACTATGCATTGATATGTGATATCTGTTAATGTGAATGCTATAAAATTCTTATATTATTTAACTTTTCATGTGGTTATATCATGATTCTCCAACATTGCTAGTTTTTTTGAGTCAGAGATACTTAATTTTTTTTTTTTTTTGCATTATTTCCTATGTATAGTAAGGACCCATTCTTACCACTTGTTCATTGATTGCTTTATTTCTGTGTCTCATCTAATCAAACAGTGATATAAGCAATATTAGGATCTTATCACTTAACCCAATATCAACCAAATGTGCCAAATTCCTAATGAAATCTGCCATACTCTGTCTATGTCAAATCCAGCTCAAGGCAGTTCTTGACAGAATTGACTTTCTGATTGTGTGTGAGATGAAGCAACTTTGTTGATGACCTCAGATGCATCTGAAATCATCACGTGAGTTAGTATTGTGGTGAAGCAGGAGTAAGTGTACTTATTGTCATTTTGAAAATTAGTGACTAAGCCAGTTTAACATGTTGGGAACTGTTTGCCCCATCAAAATCATATCTTTTTTAGCCAATTTATCAGCCAATTCAATTTTTTTTGCTTCTACTACCAAAAATTAATAATGGAATTTTTAGAAATTGTTTTTATAATTTTTTCTCAGGAATAGGATTTAAAAAATCTCAACAGTGAAATACCTTATTTACTACCACAGCTACTTACCAACTCAGCATTGTTCTCTGTGAGTTTATAATCATAGGAGTAAGGATAGAGCATCATTTGGGAGTATGAGTGGATTGTCAGATATGCTTTGATAGAAGAGAGGTTGCTGCGGATGAAATTAGCCAGGGCCTTGGTCTCTTTTTCAGACTCTGCAGCAGGTCCACAGTAAGTGTCATCACAGGGCTTTCGAGAGGCTCCGACTTCTAGAAGAACATATGTCGTTAATGGAATGGTCACCTACTAAAGTTCTTACAAGGCATGTTTCAAGCTTTCAACTTAGAGAGTTAAAATTAAGCTGTCTTGGGGGCTCCTGGGTGGCTCAGTTGGTTGAGTGCCCGACTCTTGGTTTTGGCCCAGGTCATAATTTCATTGTTCCGGTTTGTAAGATCAAGTCCCACGTTGGGCTCAGTGCTGATGGTGCAGAGCCTGGTTGGGATTCTCTCTCTCCTCTCTCTCTGTCCCTCCCCATGCTCATGCTCTCTCTTTCTCAAAATAAATAAACTTAAAAGCTGTTTTTACAGGTGCCCTCATGATCATGTATGTATATATAATAAAGCATGCACATATATTTAGTCATGAGATTAGGGTGGTATGTTTTTAAGCTAATGGGGTAAAAAGTTGCATGTGAAATCATCAGTGTGTCTTTGTATAGTAATACAATGAGATCTCAATATAGTGTAAGAAAATTAATAAGGGAGAAACTAATATCCATGAGAAATTTTCTTATTACTTGTAATCATTTTCTGAGAGTTGAATCACAAAATTGTAATAATATCACATTTTTATTTAAATAATTCTTTAATGACTGTCTCCTCTAAATTATACATTTCAAAGTAGTAGAATTCTGTCTGGATTGCTCAGCCTTGTGTTTCCAGTATCTAACACAGCTGGGAACACAGTAGAGTATACTACATTTTTTTGAGTGAATAAGTAAACTGTTTATTGTTTCTGCTTTCAGAAAGTTAGAATTCTAAAATGTAACACTTTACATTTTTTCTTATTTTAGACATTGTTTTCTTGTGTGATTTTTCCTCCCATACTTTTCAACAGATACATGCAAAATGGTCAGCCAGATACTTACTGCACCAACCAGCATCAAAATTTCTGTTGGGGTCTGTGCCAACGCAGGTGGTTCCTGCCTGGGTGGAGCGAGTCTTTCTCCACATTCGGTTCTGAAAGTGGATTGTGTGGTTAGGTCAAGTATAATAGAAAGTGGGTTGGTTTTAATTTAATCAGCCCTTCTCAGTATTGGTTCATATACCTTGGTCCAGGTGTAAATGTAGCCGTCAATATTGAGCACAGGCAAGACATAAAAGTCTAACTTGTCGAGAAGTTCTGTCATGTGGATCTCACGTCCATATGTGCGAATAGCCTGTGTATGAATAAGAAGAGAATTTCATGGAAAAATGGAATGCATGATGCTGCTAAAATTTTCATAGACTGTATGAATGTTAACTTTGGTACTAATATCTACCTATTGACATAGATATTAGTAATATTTAAAAGACAGCAAAATATTATCCATAGTTTTGACTAAAATAGTTTTTAATTCTTCTGTTTCCAGGATATTCTATTACAGCCGTATATGACACATAATTATTTATTTAAATTTTCAGTTTAAAGATGAGCAAAGATTTAATAAAACTAAAGACTATTAAACATAATCACTTTTTTTTTTTTAATATTTTTATTTATTTCTAGGAGAGAGAGAGAGAGACAGCGTGAGCAGGGGAGGGTCAGAGAGGGAGGGAGATACAGACTCTGAAACAGGCTCCAGGCTCTGAGCTGGCAGTCAGCACAGAGCCTGACGCGGGGCTCAAACCCACGAACCGCGAGATCATGACCTAAGCGAAAGTCGGACGCTTAACCGACTAAGCCACCCAGGCGCCCCAAACATATTCACTTTTCAATAGTAACTGCAATAAATTTTTTCCAAAGTGAGTAGGATATGAGGGTAAAACCGATTTTTAGTAAGTAAGGAATGTCTATGGGTGGCTATGCATGTTTCTAGGAACTCACCAAACTCCACATGACATATCAGATAAAGGGTTAATATCCAAAATCTATATGGAATTCACCAAACTCCACACCCGAAAAACAAACAACCCAGTGAAGAAATGGGCAGAAGATATGAACAGACACTTCTCCAGAGAGGGCATCCAGATGGCTAACAGACACATGAAATGATGCTCAGCATCCCTCCTCATCAGGGAAATACAAATCAAAACCACACTGAGATGCCACCTCACGCCAGTCAGAGTGGATAAAATAAGCAAATCAGAGGACTCTAGATGCTGGTGAGGATGTGAGAAATGGGCACCCTCCTACCCTGTTGGTGGGAATGTAAACTGGTGCAGCCCCTCTGGAAAAGAGTGTGGAGGTTCCTCAAAAAAATGAACAATAGAATTCTCCTATGACCCAGCAATAGCACTGCTAAGAATTTACCCAAGGGATATAGAAATGCTGATGCATAGGAGAACATGTACCCCAATGTTCATAGCAGCACTCTCAACAATAGCCAAAACGTGGAAAGAGCCTAAGCGTCCATCAACGGACGAATGGATCAAGAAGATGTGGTTTATCTATACAATGGAATACTACATGGCAATGAGCAAGAATGAAATCTGGCCATGTGTAGCAGCATGGATGGACCTTGAGGGTGGTATGCTTAGCGAAATAAGTCAGGCAGAGAAGGACAAATATCATATGTTTGCACGTATAGGAGGATTAGGAGGAACTTAATGGAGGACCATGGGGGAGAAGAAGGGAGGAAATGGTGGGGAAAGGGAGAGAGGCAAACCATGAGAGACTCTTGAATGCTGAGAACAAACTGAGGACTCATGGGTGTGGGGGGGAGGGGAGAGATGGGCATGGAGGAGGGCACTTGTGGGGATGAGCACTGGGTGTTATATGGAAACCAACTTGACAATAAACTATTTGTAAAAAAAAAAAATAAATAATATCATCTAGAAATTTATTTAAGTTTTGTGAAACTTGTAGGCAGTCCCACTGCAGAGAATGTACAATAAAGAAGAAGAATGAAGAAGCCTCCCTTTCTGAAGTGAGCTCACACTGATAGATTTTGGGTGGCTCTCACCAAAGCCTGTATAATGATGAAAGTCTCCTTCTCATTCCTCTATATTGAGAAGGGAACCCTGTTAAGGGACTAGCTACCCCTGCTAAGTAATGTGGACATTCCTCTATGAATGAAGGACCTCAGTCATTTATTATGTTCTTTTAGTCATAGTTTCCCAGCCCCAGTATCATATTAAACTTAAATTCAACTCTTCCCTAGGCTTTGCTGAGTAGATTTTAAAATATTTAAGGCTTCTATTTATTAATAGTTTTACTATACTTTTTCATGAGTCTATATATGTATATCATTATAAAAACACATGATAAAATATGTGATTTTTAAGTTGGAAGAGCTATAGAACCATGTCCTTTTTGCTGGTATAATCTTAGATAACTACAGTAATGACAAAAGTTTGGCAGATGGTGAGATCTCCATTGAAGTTCAATGGTGACAACTGGATACAAAACATGTCTAGAAACCAAGACAATGACAAATATATACAGAAGTGTTTCACACAAAAGATGGTGTATTGTATATAATAGTATTCTTAATTTTAAAAGTACTTCAATATTTTATACTTTTAATTTTGAAATAATTTTAGACTTAGAGAAGGAGTTGCAAATGCAAGGGGTTCACATATGCCCTTTACTCAGCTTCTCCTAATGTTATCATCTAACTTAATCATGGTACAGTGATCAAAGTGAACGAATTAACATTGATACAATAATATAAGTTAAATCATAGATTTTTTTTTTTTTATAGTTCACCAGTTTTTCCACTATTATCCTTTTTCTGTTCTATGATCCAGTGCACAGTCCCACATTGTGCTGGTTGTCATGTTTCCTTTGTCTCCTCTTCTCTGTGAGAGTTCCTCAGTCTGTCTTTGTCTTCTATGACTTTGACACTGCTGAAGAGTTCTGGTCTGGTTACTTTGCAGAAGGCCCCTCAATTTGGGTTTGTGTCAGTTTTTTTTATGATTAGAGGAAGATTATGCATTTTTAGGACAAGTACCATAAAGACAATGTGTGGTATGTGATGATGATGTTACCAGTGATGTTGACCTTGATCACTATTTGGTTAAATAGTTTCTGCTGTTTCTCTACTCTAAACTTTGTCTTTGTAATTGGATACATATTTTTGGGGAGATGCCTTGAAACTGCAAATATCCTATTTGTCTTTAAACTTTGACTCACTAATTTTTGCATCTGTACATAGATTTTCATGAAATGATTATTACTGTGGTATTCTAATGGTAATTTTCTATTGTATTCATTCTTTGTATATCCATTAGTTGTAATTCTTCTTAAAGAAAGAGTTGTTCCTTCTTTCCCTCTTATTTATTTATTGAATAATTTATTTATATCAGTATGGACTCATGGATATTTAAAAAGTTCAGTTAAAGGGCTTTCTCATATATCTTATCATTAGAATTACAAGGAATGAAAAACACTATCATTTAGAGTAGGAACCACTATTCATTGTTTTCTTTTTTTCTGAAGTATACGAAACTTTATTGCCTAAGAGATAATGATGAAGCTCGTGCTTTATCCACAATCATTTACTTTTAAATGACCTGTCCATTATACTACCAGTTAGTCTCTCCACCAAAGGTGGGTAAGAAAGTTCTGATAAGTCAAATTTAAATAAATAAAATTTTGTAACTATTTTAAAAACTTACAGGGGTGCCTGGGTGGCTCAGTTGGTTAAGTGTCCAACTTCGGCTCAGGTCATGACCTCACAGTTGTTTTGTGATTTGGAGCCCCGCATTGGGCTCTGTGCTGACAGTGCGGAGCCTGCTTGGGATTCTTTCTCTCTCCCTCTTTCTCTCTCTGCCTCTCCTTTGTGCGCTTTCCCTCAAAATAAATAAAAAAAACTTAAAAAAACTTAAACTCTTACCTTATGAAGTTTCCCTAAAAATGACAACTTAGAGTTATGAATTTTTCTGTTATTATTATTATAGCTAAGTTATAAGAAACTGAAGTTTTTTATTAAATAAAAAATACTTTCTACTTCCCTCAGCCAAAAACCATTCTATATACTGACCTCTCTCACAAACCATTGGCAAAATGCAGGGGAAATCCACTCTCTGGCATGGAAACCACAGTCCATGAAAATGGCTGGCTTATTTGGTCCAGCTTTGCCAACCTATTGCAAGCAAAGGAAAAGGGAGACACTGATTTGTCACATTCAGGGGTTAACATTCACTACCCGTCTGGGTTGTGGATTCAACAGGTGAAACTTGACAACAGCAAGAGATATATCCCATGATTAAATTAAAACACAATACTAGCACAGTATGTTCTTGCCTCTAGACACTCACAATGTTTGAACTGAAGGCTTACATGGCTGTTTATTATTTTTATTAAGCTTGACAAGCTCATATTTTTCAGAAGATGCTGATTACGCTGCTTAATTGTACTCACGTGGAGGTTATTTTCAGCTGCTATTATTAGGTGACATGACCAAGACAACTGGATGAGTAATTAGAAGTAATCATGATTGTTGCTAATCTTGTAAGAATTTTTCTTCTCTCCCACTTAGTCCTTGTCTTTTTATTTTCTTCATTAGAATTACATGACAAAAATGGCATTAGAAGACGACAGAAACAAATTGTTGCTACACTTTGTAATGTTGCCTGATAGACGTGAAGTTTATGAACCTCTTTAGCAAATGGAATCGCAAACAACATCTGGGAGAGAAGAATTTCATCAAGGTAGGTGATCATTTACATTGCTTACAGGAATGTGGTTAAATTTATAGGACTTCTCTTATTTTATTGCATTTTCCTTTTGAATAAATCAAAATAATGATTTAAAAATCCACATATGATAAAAGAAGCTGGGGAATCTGTTTGATTCCCTGGGGCATATAGACAGGGAAAGAGTTATAACAATGTTGGGATGAGCATGTCTGTGTAACAGATGTTAATGTGTTAGAACCATTGATTTAAAGCCCTCAGACATGGCACCGTCATGGTTAAAAATGATTACCTTGAGGAGATACATAGTGCGTCCTTCAAATGTTGTTCCGATGGCACTGCGAGAGATGAGACCTGGATTCTCAGTGCTGACTTGTTGAGTCCAAGCCTCTATCTACCAATGTAACCATTTGTAGATTAATGTCCGTTCTTAGTTCAATTCCCAAAGCAATGTCTGTCTAAATCATGTATGCATCATACCGTTTCCCATTTGTTGTACGTCTCATAACTGTGTCCAGTTGCACGGACGTGGCTGTCAAACTGGCCTTCGAACGCCAATCTCAGGTTGTTTATCAATACCCTGCAATATACCAAAGGGGATGATCCTGTGAACATGAGCATTTCCCAGGGAACATATGCCAAAACCTAGAGTCACTGCGTTAGTAAATGGTGCAGTATGTTCTTCATGGAGTCATATGTGTCCTCTGATTATTCCTAATGTCCTTCAACCGAGCTGCTCCTCCCAAAGAGTGAACATATGGTTGGAGAGAGCAAGTAAGGCAGGCTCTTTCTCAGCCCAAACTTGACATATTTAGGTGTCCTTGGACCCTGCATTCAGAAAATGGTTTCCCCTGATACCTGGAGCATTCTGGATCAGAGCCTTGGGCTGCCGCACATAAGTATGCATGTGAGCCCTTTTTGTGGTTTTTCTTCTCCAGGTCTTCCCTGCCGTTAGCACTAAAAGGCACAGGTCCCAGGAGCCAGTCAGGCCCAGGTAAACTGAGACAGTTCGTCATTTGAGGGACTTTCTCTATGTTTTGAGAAAAATGTCTTGATGGGTTGAAATTCAGAAATATTAATAAACCAAAAACCTATTATTTGGCAAAAAATGCTGGGGCTAAATATCTAGTTTCTGCTTCCCTGTTCTTGGCTGGTTTAAAATAATAAAGGAATGGTTCTCTAGCACAGTAGTATGAAAATTGGTGACAGACCTTTGAGGCCTGCTTATTTCTATAAATGATTATTCAGGTGAAAGTTCATACTTTACAAGGCAGGCTGGAAGGTGTGGATATGTGCGACTTCCTTTGTCTTTGCTACTGTTGAGTGGAAAAAGTATGTTTTGAAAGGACAAAATTTTATGAGCATTAGTGTCCTTGATCAAAGCACTGTGAATATTATGGACAGAAGCTAGTTTGCAGAAACTTGTATTATCCACAGTTAAGCCTTGAAATGTTTTTATCTGACATACAGAAAGTTGCAGCCACACATCAAAAAGTCTACTTCTGCTGTGGCTGCTCCACGGGCTTTCTGATGAAGTATGTCAAGGACATCCTCTGAACCTCCCTCCTAGTCTCTCCTTCATTTGGTTAACTTGGGAATGAACTTGTGTCTGTTTATGGAAAATGCAATAAATTAATACTAAATGATATTTGCTTCCTAGCAAGAGGCAAATACTATCATTAAAATTTTTTAAATTATTATTATTATTATTATTATTATTTTTATTATTTTGAGAGGGAGACAGAGCATGAGCAGGGGAGGGGCAAAGAGAGAGGGAGACACAAAATCTGAAGCAGGCTCCAGACTCTGAGCTGTCAGCACAGAGCCCAGTGCAGGGCTCAGACTCACAAACCACAAGATCCTGACCTGAGCCAAAGTTAGGTGCTTAAGGACTGAGCCACCTAGGCACCCCAAGGCAAATACTGTCTTAAGGTGGTATTAAAAAGAAAAAGGAAAAGGAGCAGACTTAAGAGTTTAGCATGCGGAAATATAGTTTCTCTTTAAACAATCATCAGTACTTGGTTAGTATATTTATTTCTATGGCTGCTGTAAATTACCACAAATGTAGTATGGTGTGAAACAACATGAATTTTTTATTATTTTACAGTTCTGTAAGTTAGAAGCCCAACATAGGTCTCAGTGGGCTAAAGTTAAGGTGTCAACAAATAAAGGTGCTTCTTTCTAGAAGCTGTAGGGGAGAATCTGATTCATTGCCCTTTCCAGCTCCTAGAGGCTGTCTACCTTCTTTGGCTCTTTGCCATTGTCTTTTAACTTTGAGGCCAGCAGCAGCAGCTCAAGTCTTCTGTATGTCACATCACTCTGACCTCCTCTTCTGCCTCTGTTTAACCTTTGTAAGGACCTTGTGATCATGTTGGACCTATCTGGACAATCTAGGATAATCTACTTATTTTAAGTTCAGCTGCTTAGCAACCTTAATTCTATCTACAATCCTAACCCTCTTTGCCATGTAATGTGACATATTCAGGTGTTCTGGGGATTAAGATGTAGACATTTTAGGTGGAGGGATCATCGTTCTGCCTGATACAGTTAGGAGTAATGATTATAGTATGTTCTATAATTATATTCAGTACCCAAATTGGATTGTTAGGGGATAGGGCAAAAGTAGAAAGAATCCAGAATTAGGAATCAAAAGGTCATGGGTAATAGTTTTGACTAACTTGTAAGTTGGCTTCAGAAAAGTTATTTAATCTCTGGGCCTTAATTTCATAATTTTGGGAAGGGAGCATTTGATTAGCTGGTATTAATGTCCTGATCAGTTGTAAAATGCAGTGACTTGACTCAAATGCATAGGCCTTGGTCATAGATGTCTTCCAAGGTTTATGAAAAAAAAAAATTAAGCTAAAATTGCCAGTTACCACCTTCATAAACTCTAGAAAAACACCTAGAATAGATGGTTTTTAGGAAAATGATTTTCAAATATAACATTCACAAAAACTAAAAACAAATAAAACACAGCAAAACAAGCAAAACAAAAACTTGAAAACAAAAAAATAAAATTGGCTGAAATCTTTAGGAAAATAGCTGTATACCATTCCAAGATCCTCCATTTGAAAGAACAAATCCTGTGTCACAAAGATGAACTCTGACTGAGCGAGAAAACTAAAACTTGAAGAGGAAACGGTAAATGGCAGCTACTTTTACTTTAACAGGATTTTTCATCATCAGTGAGCGAGTACAATATCATCTAGATCGCGTGGCTTGTTAGTGGGTGCCCAGAGAAAAGAAATCATCACAGAAATGCTCCCAGGCATTCCGCAGCCTCAAGACCTTCAATAGACAATTGTGTCTGTGATCGTAACTGTGGCCAGCTCTGATTTCTCAGGAACCAGCTCTGAATAGAGGGGTCACAGACCTTCCACAGGTTATGGCTCTTCTTCTCTGCCCCTAATCCACAAATTCACATTATTTCGAAGAATCAGTAACTGTGTATGGATTAGTGTTTTGTTTGGACGTTAGATGAGATGTTCTGTTAGAGTTATTACTATGTTAACTGTTAAACACTTTCATCAATAATCAGGACAAAGAAGCATTAAAAAACTGTTAAATTTAAGATGATGCCCAACAGGAAAAGTACCCTCCATCTAGAAAGTTGCAAAAGAGCATCAGAATGAGGTTAATGTGGTGCTGACTTTTGCCGGAAGGCAAGGGATTGACCTGAAATGATCTTTTCCAGCCTTGTGATTATTTGATTTTATTAGATTTAGGGCAAAGCACTACTTTAGCTGTATTACAAATATGATTACTAAATAATGAGCTTCTATTCTAGGAGATTAAAACAATGCCTCTTAATGTAATAGGGACTGCATTACAGCTCCAAAATATAGGGGCATGTACACTGTTTTATACTTTCCTATGTTCCTTTTATAGTGCCATCCAACTTCTTCTGTACAAACATGCAAGCAAATTAGATAACAGGGACTCCCAACAAAACAGGGAACAGAACATCTGAGAAGGAGAGACATGACTCACTTTTTTGCCCTTATAGATTCTTGAAAAAGGAATATTTGGTTAGTTCCCATAATACATGCCCATTGCTATGAAGAACACTGTTAAGAACCCATTGCTATGCAAGGACACATTCCTGTCCTAATCTGAAATACGCAGAAAAGTAACATTATACGTAGTTAGTAACACTCAGTTTCTTCCTAGGTTGGATACGGGAAAGACAACCATCCTGCAACTTGTAGGAAGGTAATCTCTGAAGGGCTGCCCACTAAAAGGTCTGTCAGCCCGGCTTCAGAACAAAAAGTTGGAGATTTACCCCATCCAATTCCTGGTCTTTCTGTACATAAGTGTGTAGCATAAGCATAAAAATAGTTATTTTTCTTGGTGCACACATTTTGAATTTTTCCCATGGTAACTCAGAAACTAACTAAAGCTGCCAAAGTGATACACATCTCAGTGAAGAAGGTTTGAAGGAACCATGGAAAGAATCTACAAAGCTATTTTGGTGGAAGTTGTGCAGTAGACGGTTCCTGTTGCATGTAAACACAACTACAAATTCTTGCCGACAGGAAACTGTCTAAATACAAATTAATTACCATACGAGGTAATAACGGGATGCATAGGGACTGCTTGCAGCCCCAGCAAGGATATTGCTGGTGTGCTTCTCCAGGATTTCTAGGGACTTGTTATTATTTAATATTTAGAAAATTATATGCTACAAATGTGCTAAGCAGCAAACAGAGAAACAAAAATTAACAAGAGTTTAGCTCTTGGGAATATCCTATATTCTAGATGAGACAACATTTATATCCAGTTTCCAAAAGTTTACCCACCAATAAAGGCTTGAAGTTTCCAGCTGAGAAAAGGAGATTGATACGCGATTAGAAGCCATTGTACTGCTTTGTGATATAGGCAGAAGTAGGACATGATTCAGGTAGCTAGGGTTAGCTTATGGTCTCTGCTATATTCCTTTGTTTTTCTCAAAGAAGTATAAAAAACAAACCTGTCATTTAAAAGTTTTTGCCATGGACTCCTAAAGGTTAGGATTTTTGAAACTCTTCCTAGTGTAATCAGAGCAAAAAGTCACAGACATGACTCTTAATCAAATTTTGAAACTTAACTGTGTTATATCTCTTTTTAAAAGAGACAGCCAATTCTTAAGGTCACATTTTGACACTTCCCTCAGGCAGAAGCAGATAGCTAAGCTGTATGAAGCATGGTAATGGGGTTAAACAAAACAATTTCTGTTGACCTTTAAACAATGTATCATCTCCCTCTTTGTACAATAATAAACCATAGCAGCTTTCACAGCAGTAGTAATATCAGTCGCAACTTATTTAGGTATTGTTTTAGTTCATCTTCACAGCCCTTTGAGAGAGGCATGATATCTTCACATTATGGATCAGGAAACTGAAATTCACAAAAATTAAGCAAATTATCTAAGGTCACAGCCAGAAAGTTGCAGGGCCAGGATTTGAATCTGGTCTGTTTTTTACTGGAGCATTTATTTGTTGTGTTATGGCATGCCACTTCTGATGATGAACAGACCTTATAGGTAACAATTATTACATCTTCACTAGCATAAATACTATTCTATATTTTTTAAGTTGTGAAAAACAAGAGAAAATTTTTGTAACAATTATTTAGGTTATATTTACTCAAAATATAATGAGGACTTGAGCTTGTGGTGGGGTGCTCTTGGATAAACATTTGAATGTTCAGGACTGGAGCTTGACACTGCCTCTTTGCTTCTCACTGACCCACTTCCAGGAGGAATAACTCTGTTTTGGATAAAAGACCTCATTTCTTTCTTCTTTCTAGTGAAAATGCCTCCAGGTCAGCATGGAGTCTCCCAGTTGTAAGGTTACCATATAGTCTGTTCTCTGCCTAGAGTATGTGTTTTTCTTTTCTTTGGCTAACTCTGGGTCATCTTTGAGTTCTCAGCAGAAGCCTCATTTCCTCTGGTGGCCTTCCCTGACCCTAGAGTTGGTCATTTCCCCTATATATCCAGCTGTTTACTCTTCTTGACATCTGTTACATAATTTTGCAATTCTTTGTTTAAAGTCTGTTTTCCTCTGATGGGAGTAGGGCCGTATCTATCCTTTTTTGGACTTGGTATATAGGCATTTACTATTTGTTGTACCAACAATGGACAACTGCTCCTAGTCATCTGAAAAGGCTAAGATGGACAAGTGTGGTACTTGGAGAGAGAAGATAGGGTCATCAGCTTAGCCAACTCTGTATTAGGCCTTTGGGGACCACTTTTCTTTCTTTCTTTCAGTCCTTGTCTTCATGACTTCTACCATTAGAGACAGTGGTGGGGCCTTGAGGGTAAAGGACAGAATAACCATTCAGTCTGACCCTAGTCTGGTCCTTAATCTTAAAAGAGCATGAGGATGAAAAACAAAACTGGAGATATCACAATTCCAGATTTCAAGATATATTACAAAGCAGTAGTAATTAAAACAGTATGGTACTGGCATAAGAATAGACACATAGCTCAATGGATTAGAACATAAAACCTAGAAATAAATCCACAATTACATGGCCGTTTAATCTCTGACAAAAGAGAAATGAATATACAATGGGAAAAAGACAGTATCTTCAACAAATAATGTTAGGAAAACTGGGCAGCTGCATGCAAAAGAATGAAGCTGGACCACCTTCTTTCACTATACACAAAAATGAACTCAAAATGGACTGCAGATCTAGTGTGAGACCTGAATCCATAAAAATCCTTGAAGTGAGCACAGGCAGTAATCTCTCTGATGCCAGTCAGACATAGCAACATTTTTCTAGATATGTCTCCTGAGGCAAGAGAAATAAAAGCAAAAATGAACTTTTGGGACTATATCAGAATTGTTTCTGCACAATGAAGGAAATAATCAACAAAAGTAAAGGGCAACATATGGAGTGGGAGAAGATAGTTGCAAATGACATATTCGATAAAGGGTTAGTGTCCAAATTATACAAAGGATAAATACTCTTTAACAAATCAATACTCTTTAACAAATAATGCAATGAAAAGATGAGCAGAGATGTGGAGAGACATTTCTCCGAAGAAGACATCCAGATGGACAACAGACACATGAAAAGATGCTCAACGTCACTCATTATCATGAAAGCGCACACCAAAACTACAATGAGATATCACCTCACACTTGTCAGAATGGCTAAAATTAAAAAAAAAAAAAAAACACACAAGACACAAGCGCTCACAGAGTATGTGGAGAAAAAGGAACCCTCTGCACTGTTGGTGGGAATGCAGATTGGTACAGCCATTGTGGAAAACAGTATGGAGTTTTCTCAAAAAGTTAAAAATGGAACTACCCTATGATTCAGTAATCATACTATTGGCTCTTTACCCTCCAAACACAAAAACGCTAATTCAAAGAGATACATGCACCTCTTTGTTTACTGCAGCATTATTTACAGTAGCCAAATTATGGAAGCAGCCCAAGTGTCCATGCATAGATAAATGGATAAAGAAGATATGGTGTATATATACAATGGAATATTATTCAGTCATAAAAAAGGATGAAATCTTGCCACTTGCAACAACATGGTTAAACCTAGAGAGTATAATGCTAAGTGAAATAAGTCACTCAGAAAAAGACAAATTCTATATGATTCCACTTATGTGGAATTTAAGAAACAAAACAAATGAGCAAAGAAAGAGACAAACCAAGAAACAGATTCTTTTATGTTTTCTTTAAATTTATTTATTTCTGAGAGAGAGAGAGAGAGGCAGAGAGAGAGAGAGAGATAGCATGAGCAGGGGAGGGTCAGAGAGAGAGGGAGACACAGAATCTGAAACAGGCTCCAGGCTCTGAGCCAGCTGTCAGCATAGAGCCCGACGTGGGGCTCAAACCCATGAACCGTGAGATCGTGACCTTAGCTGAAGTTGGACTCTTAACTGACTGAGCCACCTAGGCGTCCCCCAAGAAACAGATATTAAAGGAAAAAAAACCTGATGGTTACCAGAAGGGAGATGGGTGGGGGAGTGGGGGAAAAAAGGATGGGGATTAAGAAGTACACTTCGAATGATGAAAAAAATTAAAATGATAATAAAATATGAATAACTGGTTAAGTTGAAATAAATATTTATTGAGTCCAGTGTGCATACACAGAAAGTTAGGAGCATGAGAGTCCTTATAGATCATAAGGACTTCTCATTTGGAAAGAAGGTTTGATACAATTTAGGTCCGAAACTGTCTAGCTGATTGATAATAAGAGTGTTCATGGTTTGGCCTGTAGTCTGTATATCATTTGTAAACCAGTAGCAGGTCAGATATCTTGCTGAATTGGGGTTTAAAAGTGAAAACCATTTTTAGTAGAACAGTAACTAAAAACAAAACCTACCAGGCTTAAAGTCTTAAGATTTGGAATCTAGGGCCAGTTTTGCCATGATCTATTTGTGGAGCCCTAGGGAAGCCTGTTCTTGGTCTTAGTTTTACCTTCCCAGAGTTATTCAGAGGCTAAGATAGGAGTATACATGGGAGAGAATTTTAATAGTTAAAAAACTTAAACTTACTCATATTGTAGTTTATTTTGCTCCAGAAAATCTTCCACAGTGAAAACATCTTCTGCTTTAACACGGAAGTCAACTGTACTTTGAGGTTTGATTTGTGCGACAGAGTCTGGTTTCCAGAAGTCAATCTGAATAAGGAGTAAGAGATATTGCATTTGACACCTATAATTCGGTGGGTGAATTATCATTAGCAAGCACACTAGCACTCTATTAAATTATTTTTAAATTCAAATTATCCATGAAATCTCCTTTGAGTGAAGAAGTTGGGACCAAACAGTTAGATGTTAATAAAAGTGTTTACACATACGTACATGGCCTTAACTGCTTATCATCAGGCATGAAGAACATGTAATTATTTTCCATAATGCTAGTTAGTTGCAGTATTTTCCAGAATGGTCCAGAGCAGTTGCTTATTGTGATAGTGGTGTTTGTGGTAATGGATAAATGTGCTGAATGAATGATGATGAATTAACTAGAGCCACAAAATTTAGTAGAAAGGGATTGAGCCTTCCTTTTTACTTTTGAATTGACTTATTTTGCTCATTTGTGCTTGGAACTCAGCACCGTGCTTGCCACAGTGATGTGCAGAACCAGGATCTACATCTCTGACGTATAAGAGAGGAAACATGCCTCTTTCCACAGTGCATATCTCAGCATCATGGCCAGAAACAAAATGCTCTCTTGAGCATTGGATCTGAGATCCAGACATTTTCATTTGTTCAATTATTCATCTGCTTTTACTGAGGACCTCTTATGTGCTAGGCTCTGAGCTTGAGACTAGGAATATGTTAAGTGAGCGAATCAAACATAGCTTCTGTCTTTACAGGGGAGATTTTAGAGACAATTATGCACAAAAATAACAGGATGACATATTTGAGAATTCTAATGTTTTCCCTTTTGGATGTATGGTTTCAAATCTCCTCTTTTTTTCCATGGAAAAATAGTAACTAAGGATGTGTTGTCTCTCTCAGGTTTCTGTTACCCTGTTTCTTCCCTGATCTGAGAAAAGATCTTGAAGCTTGAGGTGTGCCTGACAGTGGGTCTTTCTCTGTCTCTGCGTCTCACTGAGTCCCTATTTGGATGTTTGTGAGCTAGTCTCCAGCCTGAGACAGGTGATATTTAGGATCATGGCTTGGAAACTTACGAGGGAGTTTGTGCAAGACTTAGTGGTTGTTTAATTAAAACTAATTAGGTAAGATATTAAGATGACTCAGTTTCAGATATACTTGCCTGTGGAGATCCAATAACCTATATCCTGTCCTGGTAATCTTGAGACCACTGTAGATGTCTAGTGGGTGCTGAGTCATGAGTCAGCGCTACAGGGCATTCCAGGGCAGTAGAAGGCTGGGACGTTAGGACAATATCACAAGGGATTCCAGAAGAAAAACATGAGTGTGGTTTTCAGTAAGGTGTTGAAAGGAGACAGTACTGACAATTTTATAAGGATTGGCTACAGAATGTGATCTAGTGAGTCAAAGATGAGAAAATAAAGGTGAAAGTTAAAAGATGGGAGGAGGTTTACAGGCATGCCATTGTAAGAACGTAGAAAGCAAGGATCTGGTAATGAAGTTCATTAACCAACATGGTAAAGAGAAAGGGAATGAAGACAAGCACTTTATAGGAGAAAGCATATTTTCAAAATTTAACTCCGAATTTGTGTTTCTAAGAATGCTTGTCATTCCGAGGTGGGATGGGAGTGGGATGTGTATCTTTATTATAGATATAGAGAGGTTTCGAATTGGTAAAGCACACAAAGTCTTCCAAGCATCTGTAGGGAACTTGACAGTGCCCCACCCATACATAAATCTGGGACCTTTTAGTGTACTCAACGGACCCCTCACCACCAACATTTTCATCTCTGTGAAAGCCCTTTCCCCTAAAACTGGAAAAAGCCAAGCTTGCAGCCAGCAGGAGGTGGATAAGAAATAACTTTTTACAGAGAAGCCCTCAACCAGTGAGCCTGGGAAGTGGATGTATAAATACTCCAATTCTCTCATTTCTCAGGTGGGATAATTCTGAGATCTGTGATTTGTACCCTTTCTTGGGTTTTCTCTGTAGGACTAAGCTCTAATCCTTTGTGGTAGTTGTCTTAATAGTATCCCCTTTCTTGTCTACCTTCCTTTCTCTGCATCACTCCTCACTTCTCTTCCAGTGTTCCCTGTACTTCCCCTCAAAAAAATATTTGCCCTCAAATCTTTGTCTAAGATTCTGATTTTAAGAACTTATACTGAGACATCAGCTTTTCACTTAGAACAGCATGTACCTGTACAAGATATTGTGGTGATGGTTCTGATACAATCTTGAATACATCTAGTACCAATTCAGAATAGCCTAATTACTTTATGGGTGGGTTTTCTTTGTGATATTAAGTTGAAAGCTGCCTTTCCTAATCTCTTAATTCTTGCTCATTGGTCTTGGCTCTCCCAAATATTGGGAGATCGATCTCTCTCTCTGCATATCTACATACATCTCTGTATCTATATCTATGTTTATATCTCTATATCTATCTATCTAGACAGAGAAAAACATAGAAAGACTGAGAGAGACAGAGACTTTTAAGATTCTGCAGTGAAAATGATGGGTTCTTTAAAATGGGGTAGGGAACTGTTCTTTAACATAGTGCCGGAAGTCCTAGCATCAGCAATCAGACAACAAAAGGAAATAAAAGGCATCAGAATTTGCAAAGAAGAAGCCAAACTTTCACTTTTCACAGACGTCATGATACTCTACATAGAAAACTTGACAGACTCCACCAGAAGCGTACTAGAACTGATCCATGAATTCAGCAAAGTTGCAGGGTACAAAGTCAACGTACAGAAATTGGTTGCATTTTGGGGCACCTGGGTGGCCCAGTCGGTTAAGTGTCTGACTTCGACTCAGGTCATGATCTCACCGTTTGTGGGTTCGAGCCCCATATTGGGCCCTGTGCTGCCAGCTCAGAGCCTGGAGCCTGTTTCGGATTCTGTGTCTCCCTCTCTCTCTGACCCTCCCCTGTTCATGCTGTCTCTCTCTCTCTCAGAAATAAATAAAACATAAAAAAAAAAAAAAAGAAATCAGTTGCTTTTTATATACCAATAATGAAGCAACAAAAATAGAAATCAAGAAGCTGATTCTATTCACAATTGCACAAAAAATCCATAAAATACTTAGTAATAAACCTAACCAAAGATATAAGAGAACTTTATGATGAAAACTGTAGAAAACTTATGAAGGACATTGAAGAAGACACAAAGAAATGGAAAAACATTCCATGCTTATGGGTTGGAAAAATAAATATTGTTAAAATGTCATTACTACCCAAAGCAGTCTACACATTCAATGCAATCCCAATCAAAATTGCACCAGCATTCTTCTCAAAACTAGAACAAACTATCCTAAAATTTGTATGGAACCACAAAAGACCCTGAGGAGCCAAAGTAATATTGAAGAAGAAAACCAAAATGGGAGGCATCACCATCCCAGACTTTAGCTTCTACTACAAAGCTGTCATCATCAAGACAGTGTGGTATTGGCACAAAAATAGACATATAGACCAATGGAATAGAATAGAGAACTCAGAATTGGACCCAAAAATGTATGGCAAACTAATCTTCGTGAAAGTGGGAAAGAGTATCCAGTGGAAAAAAGACAGCCTCTTTAACAGATGGTGCTGGGAGAACTGGACAGCAACGTGCAGAAGAATGAAACTAGATCATTTTCTCACACCATACACAAAAATAAACTCAAAATGGATAAAGGACCTGAACGTGAGACAGGAAACCATCAAAACCCTAGAGGAGAAAGCAGGAAACAACCTGCTTTACCTCCACCACAGCAATTTCTTACTTGACACATCCCCAAAGGCAAGGGACTCAAGAGCAAAAATGAACTATTGAGACCTCATCAAGATAAAAAGCTTCTGCATGGCAAAGGAAACAATCAGTAAAACTAATAGACAACCAACAAAATGGGAAAAGATAGTTGCAAATGACATATCAGATAAAGAGCTAGTATCCAAAATCTATAAGGAACTCACCAAACTCCACACTGGAAAAATGAACAATCCAGTGAAGAAATGGGCAAAAGATATGAACAGACACTTCTCCAAAGAGGACATCCAGATGGCCAACAGACATATGAAACAATGCTCAGTGTCCCTCATCATCAGGGAACTACAAATCAAAACCACACTGAGATACCACCTCACACCAGTCAGAGTGGCCAAAATGAACAAATCAGGAGACTCTAGATGCTGGTGAGGTTGTGGAGAAACGGGCACCCTCCTACACTGTTGGTGGGAATGTAAACTGGTGCAGCCCCTCTGGAAAAGAGGGCGGAGGTTCCTCAAAAAATTAACAATAGGGTCTCTCCTAAGACCCAGTAACAGCTCTGCTAGAAATTTACCCAAGGGATAAAAAAAAAATTAACAATAGAACTTCCCAATGACCCAGCAATAGCACTGCTAGGAATTTACCCAAGGGATACAGGAGTGCTGACGCATTGGGGCACATATACCCCAATGTTCATAGCAGCACTCTCAACAATAGCCAGAACATGGAAAGAGCCTAAGTATCCATCAATGGATGAATGGATCAAGAAGATGTGGTTTATCTATACAATGGAATACTACATGGCAATGAGAAAGAATGAAATCTGGCCATGTGTAGCAACATGGATGGAACTTGAGGGTGTTATGCTGAGAGAAATAAGTCAGGCAGAGAAGGACAGATACCATATGTTTTCACATATAGGTGGATTAGAAGGAACTTAATGGAGGACCGTGGGGGAGAAGAAGGGGAAAATAGTTGGGAGAGGGAGGGAGGCAAACCATGAGAGACTCTTGAATGCTGAGAACAAACTGAGGGCTGATGGGGGTGGGAAAGAGGGGAAGGGGGGTTGATGGGCATGGAGGAGGGCACTTGTTGGGATGAGCACTGGGTGTTATATGGAAACCAACTTGAAAATAAACTATTAAAAAATAAATAAAATGGGGTAGAGAAATCTCTATGTTTCTCATGTAAATCTCATGTAAAAAACAAGAATATGTTTTTACAGAAAACTTGGAGGGGCGCCTGCGTGGCTTAGTTGGTTAAGTGTCCGACTTTCGCTTAGGTCATGATCTCGTGGTTCGTGGGTTTGAGCCCCGCGTCGGGCTCTGTGCTGACTGCCAGCTCAGAGCCTGGAGCCTGTTGCAGAGTCTGTGATTCCCTCTCTCTCTGACCCTCCCCTGCTCACACTGTCTCTCTCTCTCTCCTAGAAATAAAAAACAAAAAAAAACTTGGAGACCTAACCTGAGGTACCTTAAAATTTCAGTCTGACATGGAGAAAGTTGGTCAACAAATATACCAGCATCCAACACTATGAAGCTCTCCAACTGTGATGCAGACTTACTACACTGGAGTTAGTTACTAGTGCTCCTTAGGAGAAATGGAACCAAAAAGGAGAGCAACTCCACAGCCTCATAGATGTTTACCAATGTATCAAGTATGGATAAAAATAATAACCTCAAAATTCTCACAAGAAGATAGATATACATTTCAGTAATTACCAAGACCAGGTGAACGAGAGCTGTCTCTGAAATATGGAAATGGAATAAAATAAATGATGTGAGATATGGGGAATTGAATTATATGTTAATAAACTGTAAAACTGAGGTAATAAAATATAAATCCAGGAAGCTGAGTTACAAAAAACTGTAAAAAGCATTTGTTGGAGGATAAAGGAATGTCTTTAAGTGATAGCACTGTGGGAATATTAACTTAATTAACCAGTTGGCTAGTAACTGAAGAGTTTTTCTTAAAATATATTATAGAACCAGCACAAAAGCAAAAGTACTGTGTCCACTGTAAATTCTTTTAGGCTTTTAAAACAATAAATATTGGTGTTGGAGATCTTTGGTTCTTTACAAATTTACACAATTTATTTCTTCACATTGCATTTGACTATAAGATGAACATCTGATAGATTATTTATCTTGATGGAATTTTCATTTCCTGTTTGGAGGATTGACTTGTAATCCAGGCATAGTTTCAGACAGTAGGGATCAACTTAGTAGTATAGTGAGAGTGATGAAAACATTGGAAGACTGTAACCATGTTACTCTGGGCATAGATGAACATGGACCTTACCATAGAGAAACAGAGTTCAAGAATGTAGAGAGCAAAGAGGATAGGTTTTACAGTTAATGTCTCCAATAAAGGAAAAAGCTCAATTCTGATTACAAGGAGATAAAATAAAATCCTTATTATATAATTACAGATGAAAAGGGGAGGCTGCTGGAGTCCCATGTCATCACAGATATCTCTAGTGCATTCAGCTTGTAAAAGGATATGTTTAAAAGCTGGGAGGAAGGACACATGGCCAAGGATTCATACAAAGACTAGATGCCCTTGAAATGATCTTATCAGGAAGGCTATAGTCCAGAATATGCTGCAGTTGCAAGATTGCTAAGGAGAAAAAATATCTTCTTTTCATTCATGTTAGAAATGAAATGAATAAAGAAGAAATGTGCAATCCCATTGCTTAGAGCTAAAGCATGATGCTTGCAGCAGGAAGAGAGAAAGTCATCCTGTTTAACTGTTTTTTGACTTTTGTCTTTTCTGAGGGGGTATATCATTTCTTGCTGCTTCTACTTCTACTGAGAGATGAAATTACCATAAGTAAAAAATTTTTCACATGTTATGATTTTTAGTAGAAATACCGTCTTTGGAAAGAGAACATCGAGGCCCAAGATGGATGAGGAGAGAGGGGATTATACAGGCCACGTAAATTGCATTTATATTCCAGTTGTAGTGATGATAATAACAAATACTTAAGTAGTTCTCACTATATAAGTTTCAAGTGCTTTACTTATATCAAGTCTTTTAAATCTCGTAACAATCCTATAAGGTAAATACCATTATTCTTCTCATTGGACAAAAGAGAAGAAGAGTTAAGACCCAGAGAGGTGTCTAAAGTCCAGCTAGCAAGTGATAGAACCAGGAATTGAGTCCAGGAGTCTGAGTCCAGATTCTCTGCTCTTGACTATTATAAAATGCTGAATTTTAGGTAACTAAAATAATAGTGCACATGTGATTGCAGAACTTGCTCAGTAATTTTGGAGGAATCGGAGTTTGAAGGAATCACTGAGGAGTTGAAGGGATAAATCTTGGTTTTCATAAATAGGAAAGCAGGTGACTTCCAGAAGCAGGAGCTCTTGGGGCTTAGCATGGATTCTGGCAAAGCTGTGGAGTAAACTGAAAGCAGATGGATTATGAATGCTCAGGAAGCTGTGATCCCTGGAAGCCAGCATGGGTTAAAGCAAGAGTAAGTCAGGCCTAATTAACTTCATCTGATTATTGAAAGAGACCACTAGCCTGATAGAATGCTGAATCTAGATCTTAGCAAAGCATTTGACCAAGTCTCTGTATTTATATTTTTCTTTACAAGCGGGAAAGCACAGTGTTAGCTGGAGCTAACACCCCAGTAATGTGGTAATTGAGCAAATTTATCCTAGGATAGTTGGTTAATGAGTCACTTTCAATACTTAACACATTGAAGACTCATGATAAATATGTATTAAACGAATGAACCGTGAAGGAGGCCTCTAATTCTGTCCTGACCCTTGATTGACTTAAAATTTATCTTTATCAGTGACAAAGATAAAAGTTGGGAAGGCATGCTTGTCAAACTTGCTGGTGATGCAAAGTTAGGGGGAAGAATTATTTCCATGGATGATTGAATTAGTCTTTTAAATGATCTCATTATGCTGAAAATAAACTATAATTATAGATAAATTTTAACAGAGTAAATCTAAAATCCTGAATTTAGGTAAAAAATAAATTAGGCAAGAAGAAATAATACCTTGTTTGAGAGTGATTCATGTGAAAAAAGAATAATCTACTAGCTTTTGCTGGCCATATGTTTATTATAAACTAAGAGTATTCATTAACTGTTGAAGATGTTGGAAAGAATCTCACGCTCTGTTAGCAAATGCCTATTTTACGGATGAAGACAGGCAATGGTCCTGTAGTCTGTATTAATCAGAGCATACCTACAGGTCCATTGTCAATTCTGAAAGCTACATTAAAAAAAAAAAAAAGAAATATAGACAGAAAGATTGAGCTATATTCAAAGGTGACCAGGAATGATCAGTGTAAATCAGTGCTAAGAGAAATGATGGAAGGCCTGGAAAAGATAAATCTTAGAGATAAGACAGTATTTGGCTCAGCTAAGTCCAGTGGGCTAAAGTTAGAGAAGGTAGCTTTCAATTTCATGTAACAATTGACTTGTAAGGCAAATGGACTACTCTGAGACGCAGCATTCCTGCCATCCTTAGAAGTACCCAAACAGCTTTTATTAAGGCCGGCAACCAGGGATGGTGTTTCTATGGAGGAAATTCCAGTTTGAGTAGAAGGCTGGAATATAGACTTTTTATTTTCTTAGAATTCTAAAGTTTTGAATCTGTTTCAGATTATGACACTGTACCTTCTTCTTTTTTTTCTCCATACCTTAAAAGCCAAAAGAAAAAAAAACTATAAAAAGATAGATTGAGAGATAATTTAGGGGCTGGCAAATTATTTTGGTTTATATTTCACGAAGAAACAACTTTGGCCCAAGTGAACTGTTTGTGGCCAGCAATAGCTTCCTGCTATACTATATAAATAATTAAGAATATCAGTTCTCATCCCATATTCAGTGGATTCATTTTTAAGTAGCATAGAGATTTTGGTTTCTTGAAAGTAAAAGAAAAGTATAGAAATCGTTCATGGCTTTTTACCTTCTTTGCCCCCAATTCCTTCATGTCATATCATTAAGAGGGCCTGAATCAAGGTCATGAAAACTCAAGCTGTTTGATTTGGAATGAAAGAAAATCAAAGGGAACAGATGATACATGGGATGTGGAAATGAATTTCAAGTTGGGCAGAAGCCCAGTTTTTCAGTAATATCCAAGTTGATCATTTTTCACTTTTGCCTTAGAAGGGAAGTGACTGTACATTAGACATTCTGTGACCTTCGTGACTGCTCCAGCTCATCCAGTTGTCATGTTCTGTCAGCTCCTTCAAGAGTTACCATGGATTTATTATACTATAGGGCTATGGTAATCTAATTTAGGCAGAAAAAGAAGGTATTGTGGCATTAAATGTTTTTCAAGTTATTTCTTGCTATAATTAATATTTTAGTTATTTTTCCTTTGATGGAATCTAAGATTTTAAGGTAATTGTGAAGCAAACCTATAATACTGGATCATTACCTCGGTGGTGCCGGCCAACTCGTGGAGTAAGCTGACTTGATTTTCATCTTCAACATTGACACGGAACACCTTCTCACTGAATGGTGAGGTAGCAGAAGAAGAAAAAATTTAATATTGGGTAATGCATTCACATTTTGGTGATAGCAAGGAAGAGGACTTGCTCATATAAGATGTTGCTTACTTACCCTTCAAAGTGCTCACCGGAATGGTGAGCAGATGCTAGGGCCACACATACAAGAAGCAAGAACGTCAACATTGTGACTGACTAGGTCTTTTGGGTGTGTTTCACCTGCATTTATAATCCAAGGTGTTCTTTGTTTTCTTCTTCTGATTGCAGATAGCCACTATCAAATCTTGATTAATAATTTTCCTAGTATTGTTGCCTTGGTAGCTGTGTAAAGTCTGAGAGGATATCTCTTTCAACACCTGTGGATACAGAACAAATAATCTCACGTTCAACCTATTTAATTAGGATGTTAGGCCTTGAATAGTTTGGAGGTAAATGAATTTTAAATAAAATCTATTTTATAGTTTGACTTCTTCCTTGCCAATTTGTATGCCTTTTATTTCTTTTTGTTGTCTGATTGCTGAGGCTAGGACTTCTAGTACTATGTTGAAAAACAGTGGTGAAAATGGACATCCCTGTCATGTGAGAAGTCAAACTTTCACTCTTTGCAGATGACGTGAATATGGGGAATACCCAAAAAACTCCACCGAAAAACTGTTAGAACTCATACATGAATTCAGCAATGTTGCAGAATATTAATTCAATGTACAGAAATCAGTTGCATTTCTATATACTAGTAGTGAAGCCGCAGAAAGAGAAGTCAAGGAATTTACTCCATTGACAATTGCAACAAAACCTATAAGATACCTAGGAATAAACCTAACTAAAGAGGTAAAAGATCAGTATGCTGAAAACTATAGAAAGCTTATGAAAAAAATTGAAGAAGACACAAAGAAATGGAGAAACAGCCATGCTCATGGCTTGGAAGAACAAATATTATTAAAATGTTGCTACTACCCAAAGAAATCTACACATTCAGTGCAATCCCTATCAGAATAGCAACAGAAATCTTCACAGAGCCAGAACAAACAATCCTAAAATTTGTATGGGACCAGAAAAGACCCCAAATAGCCAAAACAATTCTGAAAAATAAAACCAAAGCTGGAGGTTTCACAATTCCAGACTTCAAGCTGTATTACAAAGCTGTAATCATCATGACATATGATACTCACACAAAGACAGACACATAGATCAATGGAACAGAATAAAGAACCGAGAAATGGGCCCATAGATGTATGTCCAACTAATCTTAGACAAAGCAGGAAAGAATATCTAATGGGAAAAAGTCTTTTCAGCAAATGGTGTTTGGAAAACTGGACAGTTACATGCAGAAGAATGAAACAAAACCACTTTCATACATCATACACAAAAATGAATTCAAAATAGATGAAAGACCTGAATATGAGATAGGAATCTATCAAATTCCTGGAGGAAAAAACAGGCAGCAAGGACTTTGACCTCAGCTACAGCAACTTCTTACTCAACATGTCTCTGGATGCAAGAGAAATAAAAACAAAAATGAACTATTGGGACCTCAGCAAGATAAAAAGCTTCTGCACAGCAAAGGAAACAATCAGCAAACTAAAGGGGAACCAATGGAATGAGAGAAGATATTTGCAAATGACATACTGGATAAAGGGTTAGTATCCAGAATCTATACAGAACTTATCAAACCCAACAACCAAAAATCAAATAACCCAGTGAAGAAATGGGCAGCAGACATGAATAGACACTTTTCCAAAGAAGACACCCAGATGGCTAACAGACACATGCAAAGATGCTCAACATCACCCATCATCAGAAAAATACAAATCAAAACTACAATGAGGACCACACCCTATGTGTAAGAGTGGCTAAAATGAACAGGAAACAACAGATGTTGGTGAGGATGTGGAGAAAGGGAAATCCTTTTGCACTGCTTGTGAAAATGCAAACTGGTGCAGTCTGCAAAACAGTATTGAGGTTCCTCAAAAAATTAAAAATAGAACTACCACATGACTCAGCAATTGCACTACTAGTAGGTATTTATCCAAAGGATACAAAAAAATGCTCGTTTGAAGGGGCACATACACCCTAATGTTTATAGCAGTGCTATCAACAATAGTCAAATTATGGAAAAAGCCCATCAACTGATGAATTGATAAAAAAAGATATACACACACACACACCCACACACAATGGACTATTACTCAGTGATCAAAAAGAAAAATCTTACTATTAGCAACAATGTGGATGGAGCTAGAGTGTATTATGCTAAGTAAAATAAATCAGTCAGAAAAAGACAAATATTGTATGATTTCACTCATATGGAATTTAAGAAACACAGCAGATAAGCATAAGAGAAGGGAAAGAAAAATAAGATAAAAACGGAGAGGAAGGCAAACCAGAAGAGACTAATTTTTTTTAAGTTTAATTATTTATTTTGGGAGAGACAGAGAGAACACAAGTTGGGGAGGAGCAGAGAGACAGGGGACAGAGGATCCAAACTGTGCTCTGTGCTAAGAGCAGAGAGAGCCTGATGTGTGGCTCAAACACACAGATTGTGAGATCAGAACCTGAGCCGAGGTCAGACACTTATCAGACTGAACCATCCAGGTGCCCCAAGAGACTCTTAAATACAGAAAGCAAATGGAGGGTTACTGGAGGGGAAGTGGATGGGAGAGATGGGCTAAATGGATGACAGGCATTAAGGAGGGTGCTTGTTGGGATGAACACTGGGTCTTTTATGTAAGTGATGAATCAATGGGTTCTACTGCTGAAACCAAAACTACACTGTATGTTAACTAAATTGAATTTAAATAAAAAAATCTATTCTATAATTTCTTGTATATATTTCATTTTGAATTGGAAATTATATATAATAAATTATATCGATTTAAGTGTAACATCTAATGAGTTTTGACAAATGTATGTATACTCATGTAACAAACATCTCAATCAAGGTTTAGAGCATTTTCATCACCCTAAGAAGTTTTTTTGAGCACTTTCTAGTATTTCAGTATTCCCCTCAGGCAACTAGTATTTGTGGATTTCTAGCTTCGTACATTAGTTTTGCCTGTACAAAAACTTCATGTAAATGAGATCATACCATATATATTCCTTTGTGTCTGGCTTCTTTCACTCAAGATAATGTTTTTGAGATATATTAATATTTTTGTTTGCATTATTAGCTTCTTTAATAACAAGTAATATTTCATTGTGTGAATATATTTGTTTATTCATTTTCTTGTTGATGGATATTTGTGTTGTTTCCAATCTTGTTTTATTATGAGTAGAGTTGCTGTACCATTTTTGTACAGGCCTTTTTGTTGACATAGGTTTTCACTATGGGGGAGGTATATATCTAAGAGTGGAATTGCTAAATAATAACATAGGTGAAAGTTTAGCATAAGATTCTGCCAAACATTTTCCCACAGTAGTTGTACCATTTTAAGCTTCTGTCAGTATCCAGTTGCTCTGCATTCTCTCCAGCATTTTGGTATTGTTAGTCTTTAATTTCAACAATTCTAGTGAGTGTGCAGTGGTATCTAATTGTGCTTTCATTTGTATTTATTTCCCTGATACTTATGAAGTTGAATATCTTTTCAAATATTGACCATTTATAGATTCTTTTTTGTCAAGGATCTATTGAAGTCATTTGCCTTTTTAAAAATTTTGGTTATTTGGCTTTTTACTATTGTTTTGTAGCAGTTCTTTATATATTCTGGATAGAAGTCCTTTATTAGAAATCTATATCACAAGTATTTCTTCTCAGTGTGTGGCTTGTGTTTTCATTTTCTCAGTTTTATCTTTTTATGAGCAGAAGTTTGAAATTTTGATGGTTTTAGTTTATATACCTTTTAAATAAATAGTTCATTTTATAGTCTTTCCAACAAACGTTTGCCTATCCCAAGATCTCAAACATATTTGCCTATGTTTTCTTAAAAGAGTTTTGTCCCTTCGGTCTTGTGGTGTGAAGTATCGATCAACAAAGTTAATATATAGATCTGCAGTAGATTCAGTACTGTATGTTGAGAAGACTTCTTTCCCCATTTAATTTCTTTGATTTCTCTTTCAAAATTCATTTGGCCATATATGTAGGATATAATTTTGGACATTCTGTTATATTCCATTGATCTTGTCTAGTTTTATACCACTATCATAATGTCTAATTATTGTACTTTATAGTAAGTCTTAAGGTGACATAATATGTAAGTCCCCCAAATTTGTTCTTTTCTAAGTTTGATTACAAATACTTTATATTTTCTTTTATATGTTAGTATCAACTTGTCAATTTCTGTGAAAAATCTTCCTGGGATTTTGATTGGAATTGCATTGAATCTATAGATCAATTTGGGGAGAACTGATATAATTTCAATATTTGGTTTTTCAGCTTATACAATACTATTTCTGTATATTAATCTGGGTCTTTGTCAAAAAATGGAAGGGTCTGAAATTTTATCCTACCTGCAAGATAAGAAGTTATGCTTCCACAGTTTCATAGACACTGGAAGAAGACATGAAACTCCTGGGTCAGAATCAAAGGGCTTTATTATGCATGACATAGCAGGAAGCATAGACTTTATGGTTGTATCAGTCCTTGAATTATCCATTCCCATAGGGAAATGTGAAGGTGTCCCAGGTGGATGCTGGGTCAGAGGTTTGTGTCACAGTTGAGGTATATTAGTTTAGGAAACTCTCAATCTCATGAGGGGCCTGCTAGCAAACCTGTTCAACTTTTGCCTTTGACATTTGCTTTATTATCCTGGAGGCAAACAGAACTTTCCTTTGCCCCAAAGGGAGATGTAATTTCTGTCTTCCAAGCTGTTTGCTATTTAAACATCTTTGAAAAGATAGTCCACAATAAGAGCTGTCCTGGGAGGTAAAGAAACAGAGGGATCCATGGAGAATTGTCTCTCAACAATACCTACTCTTTTCTATACACTCTTGATTTCTGGTGAATTTCCTCATGAGTATGCTCCAATGATGTTGGTCACTCTGATCAATCTGACTGACAGGGGCTAGGACCAAATCCATTCAATTTATCTAATGTGGCATTTAATTTAGGTTAATATCAACAGGACTTTAAGCAGCATGATGAAACCAATCTGTAACATTGACCACAGCCATTCCTCCCCAGGGTACCAGACCCAACCAGCTGAACAAATTCCATAAGGCATCAGTGTTTGCTTTAGAAAGCCAGGTAGCTTTCTTCTTCAATTTCAGTATTGACTGTTTTGCTTCACCTG